CACCGGATGAACACATCGTTCACAACACCTACAGGTTGCGAGCCTGCTAGTGTTCCACTGGACTGTCTAGAATAGTCCGTGGTTGTCATCCATACTCTGCTGAATGACGGGGCCATCATTTGGGAAAAAGGCTTCTCACATCATCCACCTCTCATCCTCACCTCACGGTCTATTTCACCTCTCAACTCATCATCCAACTCATACTCCATCTATTACATCTACCCATGTTTTACCCAACACATTTTGTAGATATAAAATACATATACAGTTTAAATCATTGAAAACATGTATAAAACGTTCATCCAGCATAGATAGAAAGTATTCAGATAATATGTACACATAGCACGTAATTTATATAAAATACTTCATATCTATGTGTAAGCTGAAAGTAACTATGCACTCACCTGAAAGGTGATGACTTAGCACTCGGACAGCGCTTCGATACTCTCAAAACAATTTCCTTCGATAAAACCTAGTATCAACACCACTAGGGTTTAGTCTAACGATAACCGCGACTAATTAATAGTCAAGCTATGATTATTATTATTATATAAACGTTAAATAACACTCAATATAACTCATAATAATAGCCCAAATAATTATTTTAAGGTCCTAATAATATTACTATAATTAATTAGAAGCTGTATTAAAAATAACGTAGGCGTAGCTCACTTACAGCGGATTTTTCGCAAAATCGGGCTTCGCTGGAGCAGCGTTCCCAAGGCGAAAGGCTCTTTTCTTGGAGCCGTCGGGCGCTCCGGGGCCTCCGCCTTGTGCTAGGGAGTTACCCTAGGCTTTGGGGGGGTTAGGGAGGCTTAGAGAGAGAGTTTAGAGAGAGAAAGAAGAGGGTTGAGATGTGAGGAAGTTGGAATGCCTGGCACCTCTATTTATAGGCTGAATTCCTGATGGACTCACCGAGTAGGGGGACCTACTCGCCGAGTTGGTGCATGTGGTGGCTTTCTGGTGGTGCCACGTGTCCAATTCTGGTGGTGCCACGTCATCCCCTATCGCGTATCAGCCTTCAAACTTAGAAAAATCATAACTCTCGCATACGAGCTCCATTTTCTACGTTCTTTATTCCCACGCGTAGGTAAAATCAAGATCTACAACTTTCGTTTAGACTCTGTCGGCTAATTCTCGACCGATCTCAAATTTAACAGTAGGAGGCGTTTAGACTGTTAAATGACCGCGAATAATTCATAACTCCTTCATACGGACTCCGTTTTCGTCTGTCTTTTTACCGTTGAGTTCCTATTAATGAGATATTCAACTCTCATTTAGGTCGCGTAAGCCAAAAACCGCTCGAACTAAAATTCGAGTTTCGGGTCGTGCACTGCTAAGGCGAATCTTAGAAAAATCATAACTTCCTCATACAAAGTCAGATTTGGGCGTTCTTTTTATCGACGCTCTTAGTTTAACATATTCTATGACTTTCGTTTAGATTGCTAAGGATAAATCTCGCTCTATCGTAAATTCACTATTTACGCTTCCCGGTGTCGTGCCGGTTTTGCCGTAAAACTTCGACGGGCCATAACTTCTTCGTTATAACTCGGATTTCAGCGTTCTTTATATGTACGGAAACCTTGTGACATATTTCACAACTTGGTTAAGATTATTTATTCTAAATATTCTTTGGTCAAAAAGTCGTTTTCGACCCCTATTACCTCTAAATTGACTAGCTCGGATCTACGGAAGTTACATATGATCGAGTCGAACTCGAGTATTGAAATATACGGCTCGTGAGCTTAAGAGCTAGTTATATTTATACTTTTACCCTTTATTTTATTCATATTTTATATAATCAGACCAAGTCGAGTCGAACTCACGAGCTTAGTCGTATTTCTATTTCGGTTTAATGTAATTTTATCTTTTTAATAATTAATCGAGTCGAGTCAAGCCGATCCGAGCTCGAAAGTGACCATTACTTTATCATGATCGAGCCCGATTTGAAATTGAGGCTCGAGTCGAGATCGTGTTGAATTTCAAGCCCGAGTTTTTTAGTCGAGTCAAGTTTCAAGCTTTATTACACCCTAGGTAGTTGTATCCCCAATCTTTAGAGCGACATGATGATAACTCAAAGTTATGGCATCATCGTTCGCATGGGGGGTTTAGAGGGGGGGCAAAGTGGGCAGCTGCACAGGGTCCAATTTTTTCCATTATATATTTTTATTTAGAAATGCAAAATTATAATAAAGATAAGGGCATTTTTTTTCTTGTTCATCCTGGACCTTTAAGAATATTTCATTTTTCAGAACCGGCCTTGATCGTTCGGGTCATATGAGCAAGAAGGGAATGTCAATTTTGAGTAAATAATGATAACTTGGTGGAGATGTAACTAGTAATATAAAGTTTTGTGAAACTTGTATCAAGGGAAAGCAGCATATGTGAAATTAGTTATAGTTAACAAACAACCACTAAATCAATTCCCAAGTATGGTCACTCAGGTTTATGGTGACCCTCATCGGTGAAATCATACAGTAGATACTCGTATTTTGTGATGCTCATTAATTACTTCTCGAAAAAAAATGATTTGGCTGTATTTTTTAAAATGAAAGACAAGGTGTTTGGGTGGTTAAAGGAGTGAAGAATGTGTAAGAAAACAGGCACGAAAACAAGTCAAAACATTAAAAACGGATGATTGGTTAGAATTATGTAATGCACCATTTAACGAGTTCTAAAAAAGGAAAACATATGTATTTGCTTATTAATAAAGCAATTTTTACACTAAAGTATTAAATATTGCTTGCTATTTGGTAATAGATCTCCAATCAATTGTCATTGACTTAAAGACTCTTCAAAAGGTTTGTTCCTGTAAACCTTTTGATTATTTTGATCTATGTATATTTATTGTCATGTTAATGATGGTAAACTGAAGCCGAGAACTAGGAAATGAATATGTTTAGGATAAGCGGTTAGAGTTAAAGTTATATCGATTGTGGTGTATAGAATAAGGAAAACTTTAAAAAAAATACTATTAATAGAGATGTTACCTTTTATGGATCTATTATATATTATCAAAGATGAGAGAATACGAGTCTTAGAAAGAAAAAAATAATTGCGGTAATATGTAGAAGGTACACTAAAACAGACTCCTAACAGAGTTGTGATATATAATGAACAACATATCGATGATGAACACAGACTACTAATAGAATTGTTATATATAACGAACAACATATCAACGATGAACATTCTAGATGAATGAAGAAATGCAATCACTAGAGAAAAATGAAACATTGGATCTAATACTATTATCAGTGATGTAAAACTAACACGATGTCGATGAGCCTTTAAAAGAAAAAAAAAAGGTTCTCATAGTTGAATTAACAACATTGGTGGCAAATAGGTTTCACAAAAGAAAATGATCAACTATCATGGAGTTTTTTATCCTGATGTGAAGCACAAAATGATTCGAGTAGTATTGCCCATGGCGAGTGCATTTAGTATAAAGCTTGAGCAATTGGATGTAGAAACATCATTCTTACATGGTAATCTAGAAGAGGATATTTATGTCTCGTCCCCAAGGGTTTCTTGACTACAAGGAAAGATCATGTATATTTGTTTGAGAAATCTATTAATGGTTTGAAACAATGCCCAAGTCAATGGTATAAAAGGTTTGATTTATTTATGATATCTCATTGCTATGTTTGAAGCGACTTGGATAATTGTGTCTAATCAAAGAAACTTTTTATATGACCAAGAGTTAAGTATTCGAGTGTTGTTGGAAGTCTCATGCATGCTATGGTTTGTACTAGACTTGATCTGCATCACACTGTTAGTATTAAGTAGGTTTATGAGTATTTTGGAAAAGGGTCATTATAGAGCATCAAGCATATCATGTGATACTTGGAAGGAACGATAAATATTTGTTTGATTCATGGTTTTGGTACATATAGTGATGGTTTGGTTGTCTATGCAGACTCGGATCATGGTGATGACTTTGTGAAGAGACGATCACAAGCGTTTTATATCTTTACCTTATCTGGATGTCTAATTAGTTGGAAGGCAGCATTACAACCCACAATTTCCTTAGTCACAAGTAAGACACGGTACATGTCAATGACCGAAGGGATGAAGGAACGAATATGGTTACACGATCCCATTCAGAATCTTATGTTGAAGGTGGAGAGGCCCACTTTGTATAGTGAAAGTGTGTTGAGTCTGACAAAGACTCCAATATATCAAGTATATCATGATAATACAAAGCATATTGACAGCTAAACTTCATTCGTGATGTTCTTGAAGAAGCTCGATTCTCTACTTGGAGGAAACTAATGAAGAGAACCCGAAAGATATGTTGACTAAGGTGTTACCTACAGATAAGTTCAAGCTATTCTTAATTTTGGTAAATGTTCAAAAGGTTCATGGCAGTGTAACAAGAAGGAAATGGTTCTTAAGAAGTCTTGGTGATTGATGACAATTGGAGTTAAGGTAGAATTGTTAGACATGTTTCTTTGAATTGTACGTAAATTCAAATGGTTTTATGGCACAACTCAAAGTCTACTACATGTTCTTGTATTCAAAAAATCATGTATATGATACACAGCACACTATGTACTAGGGTTATGGCTGCAAGATTCATGATGTAACATACGTAAGACCAGTATTACATTGTGAAAAAGATATCTCCAATTTCTACCCAAAGATCAAACCACATTAATTCTTTGCATCGTATTTCTCTTCTCATTAATTTTTTGTGTCATTTATTTCTCTCTTTTTTTCTCTTAACGCCTTGCATGATAATATCTTTAAGGAAAAGACACTTCGAATTTCATTGAGATGTAACTATGGTTATTATAAAACCTATCATAACTTGGTTCAATCTTCTCATCATTTAACCCGAGTACCGGACCCAACTTCCCTTGTTTAATCAACTACAAGGCACAAAGACACAAATTGGGGGTTGAATACCCTGCAACTTTTGTTTATTGTTTCTTGTTGTAAACATAGAAAATAAATTTCTGATATACTTACTAATGCACACATGTAATCGCATTTGCCTTACTACTAAATTTCTTTTAGTTTCCTACACAATTAATATATTTAATACTAAACACAAAAAACCATTGATGAAGGTAACGATCCAATATTTTCTCGAATAAAACAACTCATGCAGCATTTTGTAAACACTTTGATATACTTTGAAATCCTCAAATCCATATTTATTTTAGCTAAAAAGTTTAATTTTACTCATTAGACTCAATACCATCACAAACCATAGGTTTTTATAAATTATATCCAGTTACATAATTGCAGAATTGAAGTTACTAAAGCTAGAGTTTCGAATGGCTTCATGCATTAACCTTTGGTGCCCATCCGGCAATCATATATTCTTTAGCAGCTTTGGTTTTCTCAAACGACTCCCGAGCAAACAAAGACTGCACCAAAATAAATCATAATTTTTTATGCACAGAATTTTTAAAATAAAATAAATACATATAAAAACCTTTTGTGTATATCTGAATTTTGTAAAAAAGTAACATACCTTTGTGTAGTTATGCACATGAGTCAAACTTTCAGGAACAGTCCACTTCTTGAAATGAGCAAGAGTCACCTCAAGGTGGTAAAGCTTTGGTGCCAAACTCAAATCAACGGCTGTGATCTTTTCTCCATTCACATAAGGTCCCTATTTAATATGTTCAACAGCTTACAACTTACTCATCATTCTAACAAAATAAAGATCGTAATAGAAAAACAAACAATCATCTTCTTTTTTATATAAATCTTACATGATTCTTGAGGTGTTCATCCAATGACTTCAATTCATCAAGCAAAGCTTGCTCTGTTCCATCATTTGCATCCTTGCTCTTTAAGAATGTCACAAACTTTGGGAATATCTTCGATCCCCTAAAATTCCAAATAACCAGTCTATAAATGATGCAATTATATAAAAGATTGGGCAATAGTCGGTTTGAGTTTTGTAGTTGTTTATGAGAATTATGATTATGGATTAAATGACATTATCAACAATGGTCGATTTGAATAGAATAATACAATAGGACGACTAAAGTCAAGGTACAAACTAATCTCAATGATGAAGTACCCTTATAATAAAATACTGCAAGTGTCACCTAAATAACAAGTACTTGACTTCAACTTCATGGAGAATTGAAAGGAATTAAAAAGACTCCATTGCTTTATATAGTATTATACTTATTTGACTGATTTGTCTGTATTCAGACATCGATATACGGTTTTTTGTTGATCAAATAAATTAAGGAAGAAATAGTCTAACTTTTCCCACTACACAGTTTGCTAGAAGTATCTACACAATTATCGACAGATTATAAAAGTACCGATAAAAAAAAACTAGTTGTTTAGCATTTCAATTAGCGATTGTTGTGGATTTTTGGACTATTATGTACAAAAACAGAGATAGAGGGAATTACACAGATGCGAGTTCAGGGGGAGGAGAAAGTGAAGGTTCAGGGAACTTCTCTTCAATCAGACCCACAATAACATCGGAATCAGAAATCCACTTGTCATCGAATTTTATCAACGGAACTTTCCCATCTGGGTTCACTTCAAGAAACCTAAAGAACCACAAAAAGATCATCTTTTAAAACCCCAAAAACTAATTAAAAAACCACATTTTTCGTGGGTAATTTCAAGATTCTCTAGAATCATCATCACCATGCGGGTTTGCTCTCCAGATTAATAAGATGAGTTGTGTAGGTGAGTTTCTTCTCTTCCAGAGTCAAGAGAACCCTTTGGCAAAATGGACCTAAATTCAAACAAAAACCCCAAAAAGATCGAAGGTGAAATTTCAAGAAATGTGTATAAAGGGAATCATGTTCAACATAATAAACTTTGGGAAAGAGAGAATGAATTACAGTCTCCAAGAACATCAGGGGCACCGGTAGCAGCTTTGCAACAGATCTCAATCGCCATTAGAACTGAAACTTTTTGATTCGTTCAGAGAAACGATACTTTCTTCTAGTGAATTCTATGAATCAAGACGAAATTGTGTCCGTATTAATACAGGACTTGGAACTCATACGTGTCACAACCTACAACCCGATGAGGGGTGTTTCACATGCTCCGTAGCGTAACGGAAGAAAGATTCATTTTATTTACATACCAAAAGGCGAAACCGAAAAAAAAAAAAAAACGGATTCCCTATTTTTAGAATAGAACAGCGAGCAAACGAATCGTTTTTGACCAATTGTGTTAGTGGTCGGTCAATTAAATCGAATAACTCGACTGAAATTCAAATGTACACACTTTGGGATTAGGTTCGATTTTGAGGTGTGGTAACAAGTATCATTGATTAAAAAAGACAAACATACTTCAAATTATTATTTTATTCACCCAAACCTTTAGCGTGGTAGAAAAATGACACGTTAATGGATTAGTGCAATAATCCTAAATTTGTCAAGGTTAGGTCAGTGGGTATCGTTTCTGAAAAAAGGGTACTAGAGAGAATCGGGATGGAGCATTGGAAGGAGAAAGAGAGGGAAGGTTTCGAAAAAGGTCTCACTTACAAGGAAGGAAACAAAAAACAAAAGTGAGAGTAGTCACGGAAGAGGGGGAATGCAAGAGGCAATAAAGACGGGTCTAAAAAATAAAACTAGGGTATGACGATTGGCTTCAAGGGAGAGGCTAGCTATAAGCAAAGTGGATTCTATAATCCGTCTAATTTTTCAATTTATCTAAAATTTTATAAAAAATAATAATAATAATAATAAAGACCTACCTTAAATAATATTTAGGACATACGTTATTTATAACATTTTTAGATTTGTATATAAAATATTTTTATAGAAAAATTAATGAATTCTTAATTCATTATTGGTAGGGTGATTTATATGTTTTTTAATGCTTATAAAACTTAGCACCTAGGACTAACTTAGCCGAGGAAAAAAAAAACTATATGCATATATTTTAACAAATAAGAATTAATAAATTGATTTTCATTGTAGTAAACATAAACCAAAAAATATATAATATTTATTCAAAAATAACCATATGAAACTAACTAGTACACAAATTATCAATATTTACCGAAGAATCATGATATTATTATAAGTGAACTAAAAGAAGGGATGACATTAATTACAGAACCATGATATTATTAGAAGATAACTAAAAGAAGGGATGACATTAATCAATCTTTCGTGTTCTGGTGACCAATTATTTATCTTTCTTTCATTTCCAATCATGCATACAAAAAGAAAACCTTGATGTTAAAAAAATATATAAGTTTATAGTCATTCAATATAGTGAGAGATGGAGCCACTTTACTGATCTGTTGATCAACGACCATCAAGAGGTGGATTCGTTGAGGTAACCTACAATTGTGAAGATGCAACTGTCGACCGATTCTGCTCTGGTTCTGTTGGATCTTTTAGCGTAGGCACATAGCCGAAACATGTAAAGTCGTCAACAACTCAGCTATGGGCCAATAGGCGGAGATGAGATTCATGAGAGTGAAATTGAGGGGCTCAAGGACGGGTGGTATCCTTTTATAAAGGGGGTATCGTTCTTTTGGTATGTATTAAACTTGTATTTGTATGACTTTGAGAGGTTTCAAGATATTTCAAAGTTTTTAAAAATTTTCAATCTCTATACAAATATGTTTTCCCTCCCCAAAAGCAAGGTACATATAAGGATATTTACATTGGTGTGGATCAAGGTATGCAATAGTTGGTTCAAGGGTATGTATTTTTAATATTTGACATATAACAAAAAAAAGTATGTATGTAGGATAAAAATTAAGGGTATGCAATTGCATACCCTTATAATGCACAAGCTCCGCACGTGGGAGGCATGATGGTCACGAACATTAGTCCGAGTGTACACTAGCCTGGGTGTTTGCTACTGAGTGAGGGAAGAGCGGGGGCTAGGGATCGACACCGCCTGTCCTTAGATTTTTTACTAGATAATGATCGTAGCAGCAAGTTTTTCAATACTATTTTTAACAATATTGTGGACATTCATGTATACGTACATGCAAAAGAATGAGAGTGAGTAAATCTATACCCACCTTATTTCATCATTTTGAAGGATCAAAAGGTTAAAGTTTTGTTATTATTGATATCAATCTTAATAAGCCTCTTTCAACCACATAACAAACAAAGTACAAGTTAAACTTATTGTCATGTGTAACAAACATATAAATTTTGTTATCATAAATGGGAAACAACTTTGTTCATCAACAATCATAACTATAACAATATACATTTTAGTAAACCTATAATCATTGTGATTTTTTAGTATTGTAATGCAAGGTACAACTTTGATTGCTTCCATCAATTATCGATTTATTTATTTGATGGAACTTATGAGATGATCTAGGTTCACTGGCGTAACATATGGTGAGGAGGGTAAGATTTTGGTAACATATAAAGTAATTTTTTTCACCTCTTTGATTTTATACCTCGGAGCATCAATATAACCAATTTCATAGGATTAAAGTCACTTCATTCTTCAATAAAATTGTAATAGAAAATGCAATTTTATTCATTATTGTTTTCCATTTTGATTAGTTACTTCTAAACTTTATAACTACTTCCTCATCTTGGTATCTTTGACTTTCTCAATAACAGTATATTTGAGCGAAGAAATTGTGTAACGCCTGTTCCAGGTATCATTTAATTCACTAAGTTTTAGGGTTTTATGCTAGGACTCGACGAGTTAGGGAGCTCCAACTTGTCGGGTAGAGTTCATTTATGAGGATGCGGGATTTAGATCCTACTCGACAAGTCGGAAGGCCCCGACTCGACGACTAGGCGTTATGAAGGAAAACCCTAATTTTTAGGGGTTGGTACCTTATTTAAAGAACTTATGGCTCATTTGTAGCCTCTTTCATCGTTCTTACATCCCAGTGGAACCCTAGTTCGGTCCTTATACCTCCTTGAGTGTGTGAGAGAGTTGTGGTGAGTGTCTTTGGTGTGGTTGTGAAGGATTTTGAAGCTTGAAGAAGGTGGAATAGAGAAAGGAACAGTAAACCCGAAATCTACTCTGTATTGGAAACCATTTGGAGGTAAAAAGTTGCTACCTTGATCTCTACTTGATTAGATCTCATCTTAGGGAAAAATATGATCACTTTTGGTGTAAAAATGGTGTCATACTTGGATTTGGACTTGTCTTGAGGGTATGGTCCCAAATCTGGACACCTCTAGGTCTTTCATAACATAAAGTTGCTTCCTTTACCTAGTCTAACCCCTTTTCCATGTCCTAAGTGTTGTATGAACCCTAGTTTTAGTGTTTTAGCCTTGGGAGGCCTTGCATGCACGTAAAGTTTGCAACTTTACGTGGTAACTATACTATAAGGGGTTGAGTCTGTAATTTGGAGCCTTGGATCCCGCTAGAACGGACTGAACACAAAAAGGGTTGAAGGGACTCGACGAGTTGCTTAGCCAGCTCGGTGAATCGGGTCGGGTTTACCCATCTTTGAGATTCTGAGTGGTTTTGGTGAAGGATTAGGGTTTTCGGTCTACATGAGTTTTCGGTCTTCTGAACATTAAGGAACTTGACGAGTTACTCAACTAACTCGGCGAGTTGACAAATTACTCAGGTAACTCGGTGAGTTGTTGGATGCACTCGACGAGTTGGGGTCAACATGGACTGTTGACCTTGATTGTTGACTTGGATTTTGACTAGGGTTAACTAGGGTTGACTTTGAGGGTATTTATGGTATTTCTGGATTTTGACAAGTTAATTACATGATGGTTATAGGCAGTTGAGTTGGAGCTACGCATGGGGACTTATCTGATTCTATTTTATCAGTCCAGCATTCTTGAGAGGTAAGTCTCCTCACCTTACCAATGGATCGAAGGCACCAAGGTCGGCCCATTACTTGTTATGTGTGTGATAGTTGATTATGTGATATGTGGTATGCTAGTTGCATTTATGATACTTGCATGGAAGACCTTGGGGGGGGGGGGGTTTCCCGGGGCACTTAGGTGTAAGACCTCGAAGGGTTTCCACGGCATCCTAGGTAAAGACCTCGGAGGGTTCCCGAGGCACTTAGGTATAAGACTTTGGAGGGTTTCCACGACATCCTAGGTAAAGACCTTGGGGGTTCCCGAGGCATTAGGGTATAAGACCCTGGAGGGTTTCTAGGGCATCCTTAGTCAAGACCTCGAGGGGGTTCCAGAGGCATTAGGGTATAAGACCCTGGAAATGAAAGGACAATCCATGATGAGTCACATAGATTCACTCTTATTTTTTAACTGAAAATATAAATATTTCAACAAATATAAAAAATTCTTAAACCAACATGTAGGAGTGTTTGGGATTACTTTTTTAAAACTAAAAGTCTTTTTTTATAAAAGGACTTTTTGTAAAAAAAATGTTTTTTAAAATATGTTGGCTTGACTTTTAAAGTTTTTAAATGGTAAAAAGCCAAAAATCACAAAAAGATGTGATTTCATGACTTTTGGAAAATCATTTTTTTGTTCTCGTCAAAAAATTGTTTTAAAAAGAGCTTTTATACTCACCAAATAACTTTTGGATATTTTTGATTTTTTGAAAAAGTTAGAAGTCTAAAAATCATTTTAGAAATAATATCAAATACCCTTCCACATGTGTCTACAAGGAGACTTGAACCTTTGATCTTAAAGAGAAAAAGCACCTACATAGTGTAACACCATGAAAATTTATAACCAATTTAAACTTTTCAGAAACAACTCATATTCATTAAGCTATTACAAAAAGGTTTTCAATTCATTTATTATTAGAGTATCCCAGAAACATTAACATAAAACCGAAGAGCGGTACGATCACGCCTTCGCCTTACCACGGTCTCCTGAAGTATCTGAAATAATACACTGAAACCGTAAGCTCGAAAGCTTAGTGAGTTACCCCCAAAATACCAACCACAATACCATACACATATCATATCATATCATAAATCGAACAGCCATGCATATCGAGTCTACAGTGTAACTGGTCCGCCTGCACCAGGCCTTCAGTCCACCCGGTCCATTCTTTCTCCGAGTCTACAGTATGATTGGTTCGCCCGCACCGGGCCTTTAGTCTGTCTGGTCCACTCTCCGAGCCTCAGCACGTATGGTCCGCCCTCTTGGGGCCTTCAGCCTATCCGGACCACTCGTCGGGCCTTCGGTCTAACTGATCCGCCCTGGGTATGTTGGCCTACAGCACAAAGCAGGACCCACCTCAACCCAACCTCAGTCCAACAACCATGTCCACATAAACATATAATCATATAGCAATTCACAATTAATCAACCGATTTAGCATATCACATAACATAGCAACATCCTAACCAGGATACCGACCTAACCAGTCACTAACATAGCATCATCCTATATACCAGGATACCGACCTTAACCAAGTCTCTAACATATACCATCCTAATTACCAGGTCTCTAACATATCCCATCTGATAAAGGGCCGGCCTTGGTGCCTTAGACCTGTCGATACAGTGAGGATAACTCACCTGCAACTGCCAACTTGAAGAAATAAGACCACGTTGCTCCGACCACCAGCACGAACTCAACCAATGATCATTACCAAATAACCAAAACCAATAAACACCATTAATTACCAAAATACCCTTGAAAGTCAAACTGGTCAACCATTGGTCCAAGTCAAAGTCCTCAATCAAAGTCAACCTTCCTGGTTGACCCTACTCGCCGAGTCAACCCGTTGACTCATCGAGTTCCTATGCTCAAAAACTCCCATGCCATGACTCAACTCACCAAGTCGCCCCAAGACTCGTCGAGTCCAACAAACTTAGAGTCTCTTCCTGCTCAACTCACCAAGTCATCCCCTCCCGACTCACCGATTCACAGCTCAACCAAAGTGGTTAGGACTTCACGACCAGACTCGCCGAGTCTAAGAACAGACTCGTTGAGTCCAATGCAATATTCAACGGACTCGCCGAGTTGTTCTTCTAACTCGTCGAGTTCCTGCCCATCTTCATACAACTCGCCGAGTTACTATGCGACTCAAAACTGATATCAAGCCCGACTCGCCGAGTCCATACGTAATATCTTTATTCAGACGATCACAGGTCATTCCATTGCTTCCAATACATAGATCTGGACTCCTAGGGCCAGATTCACACGTAAAGTTTCCAACTTTACGTGCATGCAAGGCTCAACAAGATCTAATCAAGCTAAAATGAAGGTTTAAGGCAAGGACACTCTCAATCAAGCCCCAAAGCTATCACTTTCTGATCACATGTCTCCAAACCAACCTAGATCTGAAGTTGCAACCTCGAATCTAGTCTCTATACCCGAAATAGATCTCAACCATGCTAAATAACCCCAAATCACACACCATGGATGAAATAATAAGGGAATAGCTTAAGGTAAGGTCATTTTACCATAGAGATGAGTCTAAACTAATGTAGACTTCAGACCCACAAGCTCTCTTGATGCTATCCTCAAATTCCTCCAACTTCTCTTCACAAATTTCTTCTTCCAAGCTTCAATCTTCTCAACAATGGAGTCTCTCACGATTTAGGGTTTCACTGGAACACTCAGGGAAGATAGAGGCTGAAATGAAGGCATATCATTCTTTAAATAGGGTGCAAACCCCAGGAATTAGGGTTTCTCATTCCAACACGGACTCGTCGAGTCCAGCCTCCGACTCGGCAAGTCCGGTCACTTAACATGTGCTCGACACACGCTTTAGACTCGACGAGTTGCAGCTCCCACTCGCCGAGTCCGGTCACTTAACATGTGCTCGACACACGCTTTAGACTCGACGAGTTGCAGCTCCCACTCGCCGAGTTCCTCTTTTCCAAACTTACACTTTACCCCATGAACTCTTAATCCTTACTTTGGGATGTTACACATAGATTCACCCTTTAATATATTTGTTATTGATTGCTAAATTAATCTAATTCTATTATAACTAGAAAATTAATTTACAATACATAATTATATAGATATTGTACTATTATTCTATAATAATTTATATTATGTTAAAAGGGTTATTCCACAAGATGTCTTATTCTTTTTTTTTTCCAACCTAATTTATTTTTTTCAAAATAAACTTAATTTTTAAATATTTCTTGTTATTTCATTAATGAAGTTAGCACTGACCACCAGTATCTAAATTTGGTTTATTTCATAAATGTATACTTTTGTCTTTTTTGTTTTTCTTTAGACCTAGAGCTGTAAAAAGTCATACGTAAGACTTTGATCATATGGACCATGTTTTCGTATGAGGATACTTTTACAATATTTTTGGGTTCAAGGGAGGAATAGGACAAATTTTACATTTGTCTACTTTTCAAGAGCGGGGGCGGTGGGCTCCGTCCTAAATACCCCACGTGAACCCCAAAAATAATTATTTTATATCTAACTATTTTTATTTAAAAAATAGAATATTAAACTTAGAGTAATCATTGCAAAATATATAGTTTATATTTAAATAATTAATGTAACATGTAAAACTAAACGAAATAAATTAGTAAAAGATAAGATATAAATTAGTAAAAGATAAGATAAAAGAAGATTAAACTGAAGATTAGGGTGAAGAGACCACACACATTTGAAGGTGATCAACCTATGTAAAATATTGTGTTAACAAGTTGTCTTGATGATAATGCTAATGGACTGGTAATGGGAAGTTTTTTTCAAACTTTATGTTAAAGTACATTTTGTTTATAGTAAAATGAAACCTATGCTGTTGTTTTCATTTGTATAGTGGAATTAAAAGTGATGGACCCAGTTGGCGCCGACCATGGAAAGTATTATATTGTTTGGTTAATATTCTATCATTCACGTAGCCTAATACCTCCTGACAATTATTCACGAATATCGCGTCATCTCATCCACATTTTAGTTATTACAACAAAAGAAAATTATTTACCTTTTACCATGCAAACATGTTTAAAAGTTCAACAAAATACAACAACATTAAACCTTTTGTAAAGTACATATATCTAATATCAAATACGTTGCATAATTCTATTTTTCAGGAATATACAATTGTAAGCAATGTAATATTGCTATAGCATGGTGTGCATGTTGATGATCCGATTAAATAACGTCAACCTGTCTTTTACCGAATGAAACCGATACTTTTTGTATGAAAAAAGAAAAAAATATCGATCCAAATAAGACAAATCAATAGTCATGTTGTAAAGTGTAAACATCAGATTATCCTTTATACAATAGTACAGAAGGGTCTTACGAGCCAAGTGAAATTATACAGGGGTTTTTTTGAAATATATTTCATATACGTGTAAAAATGTGATTTCATTCTTACAAGAAAACTCCAAAATCCGAAGCATGCTAAGGATTTCCTCTAGAAAATTATGCCAGTGATGTAATCAAATAAATTCAAACCCACAATTAATGATAAACCCTAATTTCTCTCTCATATCAATTCAATTTAGCCACCGTTTTATTCATTTCATTCTTCTTTATCGTAATTCCATTTCTTTCATAATAATACCACCTTCTTAACCTCGATTCATCGAAATCTTTCGTGTTTTCAGGATCCTGAAATCAGTAATCATTCGGGGGATTTTCATCAATCCTCTCGGGATTCGTTTGGTTTCATAATCAAGGTTAATTACGAATCAGAATCTTTGATGATCACAAACTCATTGTTCTGTTAGTTCGATAAGTCGAATCAATCCCATAAGGTATGATTTCATTGATTCAACATCATTTCCAGTTCTCGAACCACATATGAACAGTGAATTCGATTAATTATCGATTATGATTTTCATAAACTGATGTGTTTCAATCTTTCATTTGGTTTGGTGAAGTGCGTATTGAATGATTGTGTTTTTTTTTTTTTTTTCTAAACATGAATGTGGGTTTACTTACTTCCTGCATATAATAATCTTCTTTAATTATGATGCTCTCATGATGACGTTTTCTCTGAATTTTTCCTTTTTAGCAGCAGCTAATCACTTTACCTTGTTATCGATACAACGTCTGCATAGAGATACGAAGCTGTTGAAGATGATAAGAACTGAAAGGAACAACAATCCAAGTGTCATTGCAAAGTTAATGGGTCTTCATGAGGTGCCATTGAAGCAACAGCCAGTTTCTAGACCAAAAAGAGTGTTGTCTGAGAACTATCTCCAGAAATCTGCTTCTGTAGGTTCACGAAGAAGAAGATGGAGTAAAGTTAAGCAAAAGAATATGGAGATATTAAAGAAACCGAAGTCAACATTAAATGATTCAAGTAAGGATGTTTCTTTAAGGTATCTTGAGAAAAGAAGTACTACTTTTGGGTGGGAATTCAAGAAGCAGCTTTTAGAAAGATCAAAAAAGCCCAAAGTTTGTCAAGAAATTTGGTCTGGTATACGGGTTTGTGATCATAGTGAGGTGCCTTCAATGGCGGGTCTTGAGTCAACGCAGAGATTAGGATTAGGAACACAAGATTGGAAAATAATATCAGCCACCAAATTGGTATATAAACGATTTAACATCTCTTCTCTTCCCAATAAAAAGTTCAAGAAAGTGTCTAAACATGATTTGGGATTCACCTCTGGGAGACAACACAACAATGTGTTGACAAATTCTGAGGATGTTGAGTTTTCTTCTGGTGATGAAGGGATCAAACAAATAGATGAGAAAGTAGAATGCAACGATTCTGCAAAAGAAGGATGTTTACCCTGTTCTTTGGATGTTTCTTTTGAACAGGTAATACTTGCTGCTTTTCATTATGGTTTTCTTTTCTGAAGCTAAACATATGTCGTCGCAAATTTTGCAGGATTCACCATTGACGTCTTTAAATTGCGTCGATATCGATGATGAACATGGAAGCAACACGACTGAAGCTCATCATCCGAGTCCAAATTCAGTCCTGGAACCAGAAAATTTATCAATCGATGAATACGGTGATAAATTTAGCACCGATCTCCATGGTTTGTGGATGAAACTTCAGATTCTGAAATCAGAATCGGAAGAAAACCAATCTAAACCTGAAATCGTCACATCAAGTGACGAGGATGCTGCCGAAACCGAAAGATGCTTCGGACCAAAAGAAAGTCGAGAATTTTCGTACCTTGTCAACGTGCTCAATGAAATTGAAAGTTTCGAAAGATGGCATTCCGTCGAACACGTTGTGAGCCCCTTGATTTTTGAAACATTAGAGAAGAAATACGGGAAGCAGGAGACGTGGAATAAGGCGGATAGGCGGTTGTTGTTTGATCGTATAAAATTAGGGTTATCAGAAATTCTCAGACAACATGTGGAATTTATAGTATACTCGAAGCTTTTGAAGAGAAAAATGAGTAGCATTTTGAGGAGGGACGCCATTGAAGAAGAACTGTGGAAAATGGTAGTTAGTGAAGGAAAGGAAGTCAATGTTAACGCTGACTTATCTGAGAAGGCTGTGGGGAAGGAACCATGGTTAGAAGAGTTGGGGGAGGAAGTGGATTCCATTGTTGTAGAGATTGAAGCTTTTTTGTTCAATGAGCTTGCATTAGAGCTGGTTGCTTTTTGAAATATTATTTTCATTCTTTTAAAGAAAATATAGTGTATGATTATAGAGATTGATTTGCATATAGTTTAAGAGTGTATATCAACAAATATCATTGTCATTTTTGTAGATTTGCGAGGGCATAAAGGTGTATGTTTGGTTTGCTTGGAAGACCTTTCTGTAATAGTTGAGTATCTACCAAAACAATTCCTCCAACGTTGTATTGTTTGAAGGGTTAATTGATTTGTATAAATTATCTTAGTTTTTGTATAAATTATCTTAGTTTTCTCAATCCGGGTAACAAATTATCCCTACTTAAGTTTCTAAACTAACAATTGTATATTTAATACAACTATACGTTTATATTTTTTTTGGGTATTGAAGAAAATCTAGTTACCTTAACACCGTTTTTGAGTTTTTTAGGAAGTGAAGGGAGGGATTAGGAGGGATTAAAAGCGGAAAACTTGTTTTTGAGTTTTTTCTAAAGAGGTAAATAGAAGGAAATGAAAGGATTTGAAGGGGGAGATTTTAGCTATTTTTCACACAAATTTATCAGCCCAATTTTGGGTAGATTTAAAGGGAAAACAACAAAATTTATTTGTCTATTCGGGACTTCATACCATCAAACTATTTTTCTATCATTTTCATTATCACAACATATTTATTTTCGTTCTCCTAGAACCTCTTCTTCACTTCATCGAACTAATGTTCATCGTCTTCTCTCATTCCTCTTCTCTGATGAAGCTAATGAACCCTAACTAGGGGTAAAAACATCATTTGACAATGCAATTTTTCTCCCCTTAAACCCGACAATACATCTATCTTTTCTTCTTTCTTTCTTCATATTCTCGCTATCTTTTCCCTTTCAATCTTCTCAATCTCCTTTAACCCTAACTAGGGGTAAAAACATCATTTGACAATAAAATTTCTCTCTCCCCTTAAACCCCACAATATATCCATCTTTTCTTCTTTCTCTTTCCTTATCCTTACTATCTTTCCCCTTCTTTCTCTTTCCTTATCCTTACTATCTTTCCCCTTCCAGCCTTCCCATTCTCCTTTCCCCTTACACTCGAGAACAAGGTTTGTTGCTTTCCCCTTACACTCGAGAACAAGGTTTGTTGATTTGATATGTGATGTGTATGTACACTATAATCTTTATGTTAAAGAAAAGACTTTCTCAAATTGAGTGTTCACATTTAATTAATCTAGCTTCATAGTAGCTTTACTTTTATTTTAATTATATTTTAGAAAGAAAAAAATATATCAATAAAACCGTTTATCCTTAATCCTTTCATTTTTTTTGAAGGATTGAATGATTAAATAAAAACCAACTAGCAAAAAGGTTATAGAACAGTTACAAAAGAAGATAAAACAGTGGGTTTTGTAACAACAAAATACAGTCTACTCTAATGTTTTTGTAAAAGAAATCTACTCTAATGTTTTTGTTCCTATTAAAAAGAAGTGATCACATTTTTTTCGGTAGTACTATTTCTAGGAAATTAGAAGATTAGAAAACCACCGAAAACCTCCGGATCATCCAAATGGTAATCAAAACTATCACTTCCAAGGCTTTTCTCTTCAAAACTTTCATAATGATAGTATAATATTCTTGTCTACTTTTAATGAATTTACCTAACATAAATCATTAATAATTATCAAGATTTAGAAATTCTTTTGTAGAGTTGATACTTGATGTTGATGTTCGTTCTTTTTCATCTCGCAATTTAATTATATATTTCGTTAGCTTTATTTCAGTTGGAGGTAAACTAGATAAAAACTATGCTCAATATGATAAATTTTGAAAATCGACAAATACACGTTTTGATTACAAATCACTCCAGAATACAACATATAAATAGTAAAGCGCTACAAGCACAACCAAGAATCATCTAACACAAACTTAACAAAGGCCACAGACATCTATACTGTAGTAAGGTAGACATTAACGTGGACAATGGTTTCGACACCATCGGTAGTATGTTCGTCCACCTGTGGCAAACTCTCAATGGTCGCATACCCTTTAGCCTCCTCATACTTCCCTGTCCCACCAATCACCGCAATATGTGATATCTCAGAAGCTGTCCGATGAACCCCAAAAAAGCTAATCGTGTCATCAACCTCATGATCACTACCATGAAACAATGTCGTGAGTGCAAAGGTATGACTACTTCCATCCAATGAGCTTGCAAGATAAAAACCTTGACCTTGACCGATGACACCTGTCCCGAGCTCATGGCCTTCGGTTAACTCATTGTCAATAACAGTGATCGACCCGAACATGAGTTGTTCAAGTGTTATGCCAGCTGGCAGTTGACCGGCTGTAACGAATGGTTGGTTGTTTCCACCATTGACAACATTGTTGTTCCCGGTGTTTTGGAGAACGGTGTTGGAATTTGGATTGTTGGGGTTGTTGCCGTTAAAACCGGCTAAGAACGGGAGGTTGTTGTTGTTGACTATACCGTTGATGTTGTTCAACGGGACTCCACCGGTGATGGGGAACACTTGGCTGTTAGGTGTTGAGAATGGAACAGCGTTAGCGTTTGAACTGGCTATGATTCCGGTGACCACCCTGCTTGTAGCATGAGACCCTCCCATGACATCATGCATAAAGAAACTCAAAGTCGGGTGTTCTGCACCTACGGTGGCACCACCAGCGACAACAGCACCGCCACCTGACCCTCCTGTTGTTGTAACGTCTACACCAACAGGAGTGGCCACTGGCGCCGCCACTGTAGGCGCTACTTTAGTTGGTAGTGAGACAGTGGGTCCCACTACTGGCGCAGGTGCCAGAGTGGTAGGAATCTGACCACTTGGTAATGTAGGTGTTGGGTCTTCGTTAGGGGTGTCATCCTCGTCTATTGGGCCACTAGTCGTTTCGGGCTGATTAGTAGGAAGTGGGATCGTTGGGGCGATAGATGTTGTGTCATCGTCAGTTGTATCTATGAGAATTCGGGCCCCACTGGAACATTCTAGAGAAATGGCTAGCAAGAAGATGCAAATTGTAGTTTTGAGAATGGTAGAAGCGGATAACTTGAGAATCGCCATTTGGGTGGTGTTGTTTTTTTGTTGGAAAGGGAAGATGTGTGTAGTTGATGAAGAGGAGTGTGTGCATATGGGGGGGCATATATAGTGTCGTGTGATGGAGTTGATGAGATGGATGGAGTTGTTTGGTTCACAAATGGTGGGTGTTTTGTTTTGGGTCAACTACTACTTTAATAACCATATGTTGCCTACTTAAAAGTTTGTATACGTTAATAAATAACAGCAAAAAGGAAAAAGGCATGCTAATTATTAAGATATATAATACAGTAGTATTTTCAGATTTTCTAATAACATATTAAAACAAAAAAAAAATTAATCAAATAGCATATTTAAATTTTATTGTTCATTATTTGTAAAATCTTGTAATTACAACATATACAACATCTTGCAATCTAAATAAACTATTATTTATGGTTTAGTTAACTTTAGGTGTCTGTTTTTTTTTTTAATGGACTTAACGAATGAATGTGAAAGTTAATATACTCGATCAGATATATATACCTATTTCTTTTTTACTTAATGAATATAACACATCTGAATCAATGAAGTGGAGATGTGATGAGTTTATGTATTCAGACGTGTTTATTCCATTTTACCCTCCTTGTCTCTCATCCTATCACCCACGTTCTATCATTTGTTTTTCCCATCAGCATTTTATCTTCCAACCCAATCAACATTGAAGCTTCATATTCTCCTATTTTATACATCGTTCTTCTCATAATCTTATCATAGTTTGCTTTATTGAAATTTTACAATTTGCTGCTTCATTTCATTCATTAATTTCACAACAATTTTTTATTTGGACATCATACAATTTGCATTTTGACTATTGATTTTATGGTTTTGAAATCATGTGCTTCACTGTAAATTTGCTTCAATGAGGTTTATAATTAATTTTATGGTTCCGTTATTACCGTTTTATGATTTCAATGTAATTTGGTTTTACGGTTGTATTGTTTCATTTGCTTCAATGAGGTTCACAAATAATTTTCATGGTTTGCAATAGGTGGATTATTTTCATGGCAATAGGTGGATTGTATTTGATTTGGTTGTGCTATATACATGATTTGTGTTGTGTAACAATTATTTGGATTTATTTTTTATTAGTTGAACTTATTTAAAAATTAAATAGTAAATTTAAGTTATTTGTTATGTTATTTTAATTTTTTTAATTATTTAATTTGATATTATACACTTATATTTTATAACATTTATTAAATAAATGATAATTTATATTTTAAATAGAATGGTAAAATAGTAATTTATCTAGATTCGCATTCAGTTAAAAAAAAAATTACATCAGCAACACTTTATAAGTTTAGATATTATTATATATTCGATACATTTATATATTTAGGACTTAACTAAGAAAAAAAATGATACCTTGGCATATAATGTAGTTTCAAAAAATTAATGTGGTTAAACACGTTATTAATATGATTTTTCTTTTGTAAATATATAATCAAAAAGTATAAAAAACATGATGACCTTTTTATATATTGTTATGGAAAAAGATTAGGCTTATGGTTTTACATACGGCTAATGCAATCAGGGAAAAAAGTTAGCATGATAACACGTTTATATATTGTTATGGGAAAAAGCAAAAAATAATGAAAAAATATAAATCGGACACCCAATATGAAAGTTAATCGCTAAACACTAACTATATTTTGATTGTAAAGACATTGTTGGAGTATAAAATAATACTAAACACATAAATATGTCACATTTACATATTTTGTTTTAATATTTAAATCATATATAAGATACATGGCGCATATATTTATATTTTTGAACTATCATTTTGTTCGGTTTCAATCATAATTATTAACAAAAACAATTAGATTGAAATAATATTAAGGACCATCTTGACTCATATAATTTTTTTAGTAATAGTTTAAATATTATTTTCAAATTGAGAATTTGATGATTAGAAAAATTGGTAATAGGATTCAAGACGAATTTTTGGAATGAATAGTAGATTGAGCCAAGGTTATTAGCTATTCAATTCTCAAGACTTTATATGTTGAAGATTCTAAAAAATAGGCTTGGTTTTACAGTGGAGAAGGCATGTGCGGGTAGTGAGTGGGCGAATTTCACTGAGTTGAGCTTCTTGTAGGTTTGCTTCTTACGAAGATGAAAGATTATCCATGGTTGAAGTTTGGGCAATTGGTAGTTTCTTAGATTCTTCA